TAAAACACCGTTTCAAATCCTAATAAAAGCTTTCAGGCCAAAGAGGTCTCCTTAACTCAAAAAAAAAAAAAAAAAAACATCCAAAATATTTTTTAAAAAAACTTAATAAAATTTTTTAAAATTTTTAAATTATATACAAATCATTATACCAAAAAACTTTGCTTATTGTACAAAGACCGATTTACATAAAAAAAAAAAAAAAGAAGTTTTATATATAGCTACGATCATTACTGAATTAGGTTAGATCTTTATAATATTAAAAATTCGGTGACTTTTGTCAGGGGAGTATACATATAAAGAATTTTTGGAAGAAGCCCCAAGCTATGAAGAAAACTAGCCACTGCGTGTAGTATAGATTACAGAAGGTATTACTGCAGAAGGCTGTATGTGTGAATCCACAATTAGCAAAGTAGCACTAACAACTCTAAGGCGGTATTGGGATTTTGATTGAGAGAACAGCTGAATGTGGTATATCTAGAAGTGGTGAAAGAAGTGGTGAACATAGTAAGGGGCTGCAGTAAGAGAACAGCTTTACTAAATATAAAACACCTCTAGCGCAAGAAAACAAGAAAAATTAGCTAAAAGAAACCTAAAAAGTATAGAAGCAGGCAATCCGGTCATATGAAAATAAAGACAAGCTAGGAAGTAATAGTTGTGCAACCTATATAGAAATCTATGATAAAACACAGCAAAGGCGCGAATCTAGGGTTACTAGATTGTAACAGTAATTAAATGAGATACTTAACTCCTGTCTGAAGAATTCAGATCTCTGTATCACTATTAGGCCTCTGCATGGGCCTGGGCTACCCATAGATATTTGCAAATAGTACTATAAAGGCCAGGTTAGAGTATTGATTTCTGGGCTCTAGGGTAGAGTAAGGGCTTAAAAATAAAGCCTTTATACAAACAGGTAGGGCTAGGGTAGTATCATGGGTATCTGTTAGTTGTTCATCGTATACCCACTGAATATATAAGTGACACCAAGAGAAAGCTATCTCGAACTTTTTATAATATACTGGACTTAGACCGTTCTCAAGCATCTAAATCAATTGATTAAAGAATGATCGTGATAATGCTCAAGCATCACAATCAATAGCAATATTTATAAAATTAAATGCTTAAGTATACTCTTTTTCTATTTTTCATGATCTTTATTATGCTGCCTAAAATGTTTAAAAAGTACAATAAAAAAATTCTGTTCAACTAACTGCTGAATTTTCAGCTCAATATTGCAACAGCAACAACTTATAGAAACATTAGCAAAAGTTGCTTTGCAGCAACAAGAAGTAAAAAAAAAAATTTTATTAAGTTTATATAAGCAAAAAATGGAATTGCAGTATTCATTACAGCTTGGTTAAATGTTAAAAGATGGGTTGTATTAATTACATTTATATCAAGGTGTCGATTATTTTTTTAAAAGCTTCGAGTATTAAAAATAAAGTGGCTATTTTTTTAAACCAGTTAGAAATTTGTTGTGAATTTTGTTGTGAATTCATTGTTTATTATGTTTGATATGCTAAAATGTAAAAGTAGTGCTTGAGTGATTTTTATTAATTGTAAATTTTTAGAGAAAAAAGGTAGATTTTATTTTACTACATACAAGCAGTGCTTGTAATTTTGAATATAGTGAAGTTAGGCCCATGGATAGTTCACGAATACTTGTGGGCCCAACAGACCGGGCTAGGGTATTAAACTTTGGGCCCTAGGGTAGGATAAGGGCTTAAAAATTAAGCTCTTACACAAACAAGTAGGATTAGGATATTGCTATTACCCAGCCCTACCTGGCCTATGTGGAGGCCTAATCACCATATCAATAGAGAGTACTATAGAAGAATTAGTAGCCTAATTTGGTAGTATATAGTGTTAATACTTGAAGATCATGAAATAATATCCTGGTTGTAGCAGCAAGTTCTATATCTGGCTTGAGATACAAACTAGGCCCTTAAAGTAACATTCTGAGAACACCAAACTGGAAGCATTAAGAGTGCCTACTCAAGAGACACCAATTTGAAAATAGTACAAGAAGTGAATTAAGAGTAATGTGATAAGTAATAAGAGGTAGAAGTTGGTTGGTAGACATTTATAGTGTTCGAAAACAGATTAAAAATCCTGGTTAATCCAGGATTGATTCGAATCTGATCTGAATCTATAATTCAGATTGAATACAACAGTTAATCTGTGGTTTGTAACAATATTTGTTACAATTTATATAATAAATTTGAACTTATCACATAAATTGTGATATAAAGTGTGATAAGTTTGAATTTATCTTGTAACAAATTCAAATTTATCACATGTAGTGATTATATAAAGATAATCTAAAATTAGGCCTAATCTCACTCAATCCAGGCCTAATCCACGATTCAGGATCCAAAACTAGTAATGCAAACGGCTTGACCCAAGCCAAGAGCCAAATGGCTAAGCTAAGCTAATTAACAGCTCAGCTCTGGTTTACTAATAAAAGCATCAGCTCTAAAACAGCTTAGCTCTAAACCCTTAAAGCTGATATGAAGCTAAGAGCCGATTAATTTGTATCATATAACCATAATCTAATAGTAAACGATAAAATACTATTAATTAAAAATTAACATACCTGAGTTTAAAATTTATACCAATTAAAATGTAACATACATAGTTTTAAATTTTATACTGAAAAATATATAACGTACATAAGTTTAATATAAAAGCTTAATAAATTAAATTGATTATAAAAAAAAAGCTTTGTTATTTTATCTTCCATAATATAACTTCAAATTCTTTGTTAGTTTTTTTATTTTTTTCATTTCAAAGCTTCAAAAAATTATTGATAATTATATAAACAATAGAAACAAAAGACATATAATGAATCGTTCAAAGTATGGCTATTTTATAAAACCTATCAAGTAAACATGTAAATTCAAACTTTAAATATTGGGTTCTTAATACCTTTAAATTAATTAATTATAATAACAAATCAACATATTACTCAGAACCATCAAATGATTTATAATCTTAATGGAAAAAAGATATAAAACTAAAAACATGCGTTAAATTTGAAACCTGGTGATTTTATAAAGATTCAGATTTCTGATATTGATAGGCTAAAAATAGATAGACAAGCATTGTAACTCATATCAAGTTGGAAGCTGTTTAGAATTTTGAATATATGGTTTTCAGCAAATGAATTAGAACTCTTAAGTACTAATGAATTTCTTGAACTTGATATAATTTCAATAGGCAAATTTATTAAAAGGCTGTACTGCTAAAGTTTACTATTTTAATATTTAAATTATATAATTCAATTTAAATAACAGATTTTTAAATATAAATAAGGCTTAATAGAACTATTTAAAGTTTTATTTAAAAAAAAAATTGGAAATTCTACTTAACAAATACTTAAATCAGATATATCTAGCTAATTTGCTGAAAATTCATCAGCGTTTATCCTTTTATATTTATAGAAATTATTCATGCTATTAATTAGCTATCACATAGTATGATATACCACTTCTTTTTTTTTTTGACTATTCATGAAATATTAACAAAGTTGCTGAAAATCTACTAACAATTTGAGTATTGAATTTGAAAATAGAAATAATGAGCTGACAATCAAGCCAGTTTAACCATAATATTGGAACTTTAATAATGGCTTTAAAACTTTAGCCATGGCTTTAAAACTTTAGCTATAGCTTTAAAATTTTAACCATAGTTTTGGAGAAAAACCACCTCAAGCCGATAATAACTTGCTTGAGAAGTTAATATTAAGCCAGCTTGATTGTTAGCTGATCTATCTTTATCTTCAATAGTATAATTTATACAAAAAAAAAAAGATTAGACCTTTCTTTCAAAAAGTAAAAATAAAGTAAAATAAAATCTCATGCATAGCCTCAAAATCAATTCTAAGCGCTGAAAATTTCTTAGCATGGATTTCTGTTCAGCTTACTATTAATGAGTATAAAAGGGATCAAAAATTTATTTGCTCAATTTTATATTTATTTAAAATTTTACTTACAATTATAATAGATACTAACCTTGATAATCTTTATGATACTGACGTTCTTAATACTCCCACTTCTAATATTTTACAAATTTCTAATGATGATGCAGCCACAAACACTGCTACAAGTAATAGTAATGCTGCATCCAATATTTCTGTTACTTCTAATACCTTTATTATTTCAAATAAAAAAAAAATTAAACCTAGATCTGCTATTTTGCCATTTTTTGTACAAAAAACTATCGACAACAAAATAGTAATTTGTAGTTTTTGTAAAAATAAATTCAGTATAACTATAGCAACTAGTAATTTGCATAAATACTTTGACTCTCAGCACCCAGGCTAGAATATGACTAAGCCACCTTCAAGTTATAGCTTCTTATTTTTATATCTAAAATGACAATTTCAATTCAAATTTTACTATCAGCTCAAAAAACCAAACTTCATATATTAGTTGCTAAATGGATTATATCAGATACATTACCCTTTTCGATTGTTTCAAGTGAATTATTTGCCACTGTACTTTGATATCTTAATGCTAATGTTGATTTACTTTCTCGTAAAACTATAAAGTCTACTATTCAAAGTGCCTTCATTGTAATGCAGAAAGATGTTAAAATTCTTTTGGAACAAGTTTTGAATAAAATCTTTGTTATATTAAATATTTGGACCTCTTGTGCTAATGTGCTCTTTATTTATATTATGGCACATTGGATAGATAAAGAGTAAAAACTTAATAAAATTTTACTTAATATTCACATACTTCCTCATTCTCATACTGGCAAAGAAATTAATATACACATACATTTTGTCTTTGCAGCTTTTAATATTACTGATAAGATTCTTTGTGCTACTATCGATAGTGGTGCCAATGTGATCTCAGCAATGCAATTATTAAAAGAGGATCTTATTTTACAAAATCATTTTTTTTATTTTCTATCTTGTTACTATTTAGTTCATATACTAAACCTTATTGTCACAAGTAGTTTATCACCTATCAAATCATTAATCGAAAAGGTGCATAACTTCATTAGCAAAAATATATAAGCGTAAACTTTCGTAAATTTTATGGTACGTAAGAAAATCGTAAACTTACGCAATATGTTTACACAAATTTACGCTTTTCTTACACATCGTAAGAAAATCATAAATTTACGTAAACATATTATGCAAATTTACGCTTTTCTTACGATGCGTAAGAAAAGCGTAAATTTGCGTAATATGTTTATGCAAATTTATGATTTTTTTACGATACGAAAGAAAAGCGTAAATTTGAGTAAACATATAGCGTAAGTTTACGTACCGTAAAAACTTATGGAAGTTTAAAATATTTATAATGCACTATTCAAATTATAAGTCATAACAATGAATCACTTGATTTATATTTTTTTGTA